CAAGTTACAACAATAGAAATTATACCATATATGTTTTCAGATCACAATGGAATAAACGTAGAAATCAATCCAGGAGCACCCATTTCTACACTAAGTCATGGTAACTAATTAACCTTCAGCTGAATGATCACTTCGTAAACGAGGACATCAAGATGAAAATCAAAAGATTCTTTGAACTATATGACAAAGAGACACAAGTTACTAAATCTGTGGGACACATCTAAAGCAGTCCTAAGAGGAAAGCTTATTTCCATAGATGCCTATATCCAAAACTTGAAAAGATTACAAATAGACAACCTAATAAATCCTCTCAAAGAGCTGGAAAACAAAGAACAGGCAAACTCCAAACCCAGCAGAAGAAGCGAAATCATTAAGATCAAATCAGAATTAAAGGAAATTGACAACAGGGAAGCTATATGGAAGGTTAATAAAACAAAAAGTTGGTTCTTTGAAAAAATAAACAAAATTGACACACCTTTGCTTAGACTAACAAAAAGCAGAAAAGAAAAATCTCTAATAAGCTCTATCAAGAACAAAAAGGGAGAAATTAAAATGGATGCCATGGAGATACAAGATACAATGCATGAATACTACAAAAACCTCTATGCACACAAATTGGAAAATGTGGAGGAAATGGCCAAGTCCTTAGAAACACACAGCCTCTCTAGACACAAACAGGAAGAAATAGAATTCCTGAACAGATCAATATCAAGTACTGAAATTGAAACAGCAATAAAAAACCTTCCTAAAAAGAAAACTCCTGGACCAGATGGTTTCACTCTCGAATTTTATCACACCTACAAGGAAGAACTGGTGCGTATCCTTCAGAAATTATTCCACAACATCGAAAAGGATGGAAACCTCCCCAACACTTTTTATGAAGTGAACATAACTCTTATACCAAAACCAGGAAAGGATGCAACAAAAAAAATAACTACAGACCAATATCCCTGTTGAATATAGATGCAAAAATTCTCAGCAAAATCCTAGACAATCGAATCCAGGTGTTTGTCCAGCAAATAATCCATCACAACCAAGTGTGCTTCATCCCAGGGATTCAGAGATGGTTCAACATAGGCCAATCTATAAATGTAATTCACTATATAATCAGAAACAAAAACAAAGACCATATGATCCTCTCAATAGAAGAAGAAAAAGCATTTGACAAATTTCTACACCCTTTTATGATAAGAACCCTCAACACAATAGGCATAGATGGGCCTTACCTAAAAATGTTACAAGCCATGTATGACAAACCCACGGCCAATACCATACTGAATGGGGACAACTTGAAAGCATTCCCATTTAGAACTGGAAGAAGACAAGGTTGCTGACTATCTCCACTTTTATTCAACATAGTGCTGGAATTTCTTGCTACAGCAATCAGACAAGAGAGTGGAATTAAGGGCATCCCAATGGGAGCAGAAGTGATCAAACTCTCACTCATTGCTCGTGGCATGATATTATACCTAGAAAACCCCAAGGATTCAACCAAGAAACTCCTTGAATTGATAAATGAATTTGGTAAAGTCTCACGATACAAAATCAATACACAGAAATCAGAGGCATTCATATACGCCAACAACAGTAAAATTGAGAACCAAATCAAAGACTCAATTCCCTTCTAAATAGTAACAAAGAAAATAAAGTACCCAGGAATATATTTAACTAAGGAGGTAAAAGACCTGTACAGGGAGAACTATGAAACACTGAAGGAGGAAATAGCATAGGATGTAAACAGGTGGAAGAATATACTATGCTCATGGGTCGGCAGAATGAACATTGTTGAAATGTCTATATTACCCAAAGTGACCTACAGAGTCAATGCAATCCTTATCAAAATACCATCATCATTTTTCACAGATATAGAAAAATAATTTTACGCTTCATTTGGAACCAGAGAAGACCCCATATAGCAAAATCAATCCTAGGCAATAAAAACAAAATAAGAGGTATCAATTTAACAGACTACAAGGGTGTAGTCATTAAAACAGCTTGGGACTGGCACAAGAACAAGGACATTGACCAGTCAACAGAACAGAGAGCTCAGCTATAAAACCATCCTCATATAGCCAACTAATCTTGAACAAAGTAGACAAAAATACATACTGGGGAAAAGAATCCTTATTCAATAAAGGGTGCTGGGAAAACTTGATAGCCATATGTAGAAGGCTGAAGCAGGACCTGCACCTTTCACCTCTCAAAAAATCAACTCACGCTAGGTAACAGACTTGAACCTTAGGGGTGAAACTATTTGAAATGTAGAGGAAAACTTTGGAGATACTCTTCTAGACATTGGCCTAGGCAAAGAATTTATGAAGAAGAACCCAAGAACAATCACAGCAGCAAAAAAATTAATAACTGGGACCTAATCAAATTAAAAAGCTTCTGCACAGCCTAAGAAACTGTCAAGAGAGGAAACAGACAACAGAACGGGAGAAAATTTTCACAAGCTACACATGCGATAAAGGGCTGATAACTAGAACTTATTTAGAACTCAGGAAAATCAGCAAGGAAAAATAAAACAACCCTATCAAGAGGTCGGCAAAGGACATGAACAGAAACTTTTCAAAAGAAGAGAGTATAATGGCCAACAAACATATGAAAAACTGTTCAACATCTCTAATCATCAAGGAAATGCAAATCAAAACTGCAATGAGATATCACTTATCTCCAGTAAGAATGGCCTTTATCAAAAAATCCCCAAACAATAAATGTGGGCATGGATGCGGAGAAATAGGAACACTACTACACTGCTGATGGGACGAAAACTGGTTCAGCCTCTGTGGAAAGTAATATGGAGATACCTTAAAGAGATACAAGTCGATCTACAAATAGATCTACCATTTGATCCAGCAATTCCACTACTGGGCATGTAACCAAAAGATCAAATGACATTCTACAAATGGGACACCTGCACTCAAATGTTTATAGCAGCACAGTTCACAATTGCAAAGTTGTGGAAACAAACCAATTGCCCATCAATACATGAGTGGATTAATAAAATGTGGTATATGTATACCATGGAGTACTATTCAGCTTTAAGAAACAATGGTGGTATAGCATCTATTGTATTTTCCTGGATATAGCTGGAACCCATTCTACTAAGTGAAGTATCTCAAGAATGGAAAAACAAGCAACACATGTACTCATCAGCAAATTGGTATTAACGGATCAACACCTAAGTGGATATATAGGAATAACTTTTATTGGGTGTCAGGCAGGTGGGAGGGGGGAGGAGGGGAGGGGTATATACAAACATAATTAGTGAGGTGTGCAACGTTTGGGGGATGGTCACGCTTGAAGCTCTGACTCTAGGGGGTAGGGGGGAATGGGCAATATATGTAACCTTAATATATTTGTACCTCCATAATATCCTGCGGAAGGAAGGAAGGAAGGAAGGAAGGAAGGAAGGAAGGAAGGAAGGAAGGAAGGAAGAAAGAAAGAAAGAAAGAAAGAAAGAAAGAAAGAAAGAAAGAAAGAAAGAAAGAAAGAAAGAAAGAAAGAAAGACAGACAGACAAAGTGTCACAGCATCGAATAGCAAAAAGCAGATGCCAGTATGGCTTAATTCTGGAGATAAAGCATGGATGCTTTTTTGGTGCCTTTACTCATTCCCACCAAGCATGTTCTAAGGATTTTACAAACAAAGTTGGCAGGAGGATGCTGCGTCTCCTTGTTCCTCATCACACTGAGTTTAGGCCCTTATTATCTCTCACTCTGAGTTTAGGCCCTTATGATTTTTAAAAATCATAACCATAATATTATCACACCTTAAACTTAACAATAATTCTTTAATATCATCCAATATTCAGTCAATATTCAAATTTCTTCAAATGTCTCACCAAGATTTTATACCTGCTTCTTTCTAGTATTTTTGAATCCAGTCTTATTCCCCTTTCAATCTACCTTCATTGAGAAGCTAGTCAAATCTCATGGAAATAGGTTTGCCCTTGTCACACTTCTCCAAACAATTATCTTCTATCACCCAGTTTTTCCTTGAATTCCACCTTTTCTTATCTTCAAAATATACAAAACTAAATGATGGTTATGTTTCATATAAAGTATGCATTCCTGAACAGCTCTCATAATTTAAAATTCACATAACCTAAATATGATGCTGATAGAGAATGGAGGCTTGTTTTGCTTACTGGCTAAAGTGGCACCACCATCTCCAAGGCTGTTTTCAAGGTCCAGAGTAGTGTTTGGCAATGGCATATACAGTTCACAATATCCTTGACCTTTTAATTCATAGAATGTTTAGAAAGTTTTTAGTTAGGTTGGGGCTTTATATCTTTTTATGTATCACATATAAAGTGATCATTTATTAGTATTTTTAAAATATGCCTCAACTTGAAAGTTGAAAGTTACACAGTTCAACTTTGTATATAATTCAACTATTGGTACTGCATCATTATTCCCTAAGTATACTGTCTGTTATGTCTCTGCAGACAGGAATATCTTTCTTACCTCTTATCTGCCTAGAGAACTCCTATAAATTCTCTAAGACTCATTTAAAATATCACCTCCTCCTTATAGCCTTCCCTGTCTAGACATAATGAATCATTCATTGCCTTTTCTTTTTCTGAAACATCTTGCTTATATGTCTAATACATATCCTATTATGGCATGACTTGTAAGCTACTCACATTATTCTATCATTATAGTTAGTATGTTAGTATGGACTTCTTGACTATACCTTATTTGTGTGTGCTGCCTTTGGTCTCAAAGTAGATACTCAGAAAGTGTTGACTTTAATTAATATTGCAGGATGATTGTGCAGATTAAATGCAATGATTTTTATCAATTACCTGAAATAGTACTTGGTACTTACTTGTGCTCAGTAAAGTTTTCCTAGCTTTTCCTCCTTATTTCTCCCAACATCATGTATTCTTTCCACAAGAAGAGACTAAAGATTCTTTTCTTTCATTGCTCGCACGTCTCTTCAGGGTACTAACATTGACTATTTTTCATCTCTCATTTGTTTATTTATTTATTTTAGGTCACTGACCCTGTTCAAATCAGGGATCCCAGTGAGACAGAAGAAAGAAATAATATGACATCTCCATCATTCCTGAGTGACAACCCCATGGAGAACTCAGCACTGTTTAATGACATCAATATTGAGCCACCAGAAGAACTTCTGGCTAATGATTTTAGCTTGCCCCAGGTAGAGCCTGTTGACCTCTCCTTTCACAAGCCCAAGGCTCCACTCCAGCCTGCTAGCTTGCTGCAAGCTCCAGTGCATCCGACTAAGCCACAGTCTGCTCCCCAGACCCTTTTGGTGTCCACTTCAACGTCTGATACAAGCACTTCAACAAACATCCCTAACGTTCTGACTCCAGGCTCTATCCTGACCTCCTCTCAGGGCACTGGTGGCCAGCAGATCTTACATGTGATTCACACTATCCCATCAGTCAGTCTGCAAAGTAAGATGAGTGGCTTGAAGACCATCCCTGTGGTGGTGCAGTCTTTGCCCATGATGTATACTACTTTGCCTGCAGAAGGGGGCCCTGCAGCCATTACAATTCCACTCATTGGAGGAGATGGTAAAAATGCTGGATCAGGTGAGCATCAATATCGTCCCTTTCCTGGGCTTCAGCTTCCTCCGTCTATTATTTTTTTGGATCATCCTATATCTTGTCTCTTTTTACCTCCTCCAATTATTCTTCCATACTGCTTCAATATTAATCTTTCATAAACATTGTTTCTATCATGTCTTTTTAATGCTTAAGAAATTACAATGACTCTCTATTGCTTAGACCAGGCTTCTCAAATGGGTATGTATATCCTTCAGTGAAATATTATCCATCTTCCTTGAACCTCTATATTATTTGATAGTAAATAACTTAAAGCATTTTATATTTAAAATGTGATTGTTATAGAGCAAAATGCAAAATTTGAATAACTTTTAAGGTAAAACAAACTTCAAAAATGGTTTAAGCTTACTAAAAACATTTACCATAGGACTTTCCACATGAAAGTGTTTCTTTTTCTATGCCATTAGGAGTGCTTTCGTGGAAAAGTTGAGAATATTTCTATCCCTACCCTATTTTGCCAATCTTACCTCCTGCTTCTCCCAACATTTTTGCTTTTCTCTTTCCTACAAAATAATGGTCTTTGAAATATTGCCATCTTCCCTGTGTTGTTTCTAATTTGGAGTCTATCATTCTCTGTTTTACTTTTTAACTTGCCTATATCAGAAGTGTATGGGCATTATACCCAACTGAATTCTAAATTCCTCAAGAATAAGATTCTATCTTATTAATATTTTTTAATGTGTGCTTCTCCAGAGAACCTAACATAGTTCTAGATAGCAGTTGTCCTACAACAAATAATTTGATGAGCAAATGAACTTGAAAATTTACCCAGGAGAGAAGTCATATGCTATAATCTTCCTTTTCATTTAATTTTAAAAATAAGTTTAGAATTCAGAAAGGTATAAATTAAGTCTCTCTTCCACCACTATCTTCCAAACACCTACTTCCATTCCTGGAGGTATATCTACTTTAGTTTGTAATCAGGAATGATCAAAGAAAATTATATGGTCTCTGAGGTAGTTCAAGGTATTTGGCTTCACTGAATCTGTAGTATTACAATCAGTATTGGGTGTTGTGCCTTAGGAAGGACATTGAGGAACTGGAGTATACTCAAAAGAGAGAGACCAGGATGGTGAGAGTATTCAAACTCATTTCAAATGATGAGATGATAATGTTTAGTATGAGTTAAAAGTGAAAGATAAGTGGGTGGAAATGACTAGGAAACACATTCCAGCTCAGTATAAAAAAGAATTTTCTAAGAGTCTCTATCTTTGAAATTTGATGCCCTCTACTAAATGTAGTAGGCAAAAAAACAACACACTATGCATCAAGTTGCTGAGACTCTGCAGTTGTTTTTTGTTTTTTTTTTTTAACGCTCTGTGGAAAGCAATATGGAGATACCTTAAAGCGATACAAGTGAATCTACCATTTGATCCAGCAATCCCATTGCTGGGCATCTACCCAAATGATCCAGTGACACTCTACAAAAAAGACACCTGCACTCGAATGTTTATAGCAGCACAATTCATAATTGCAAGGCTGTGGAAACAGCCCAAGTGCCATCAATCAAGAATGGATTAATAAAAATATGGTATATGTACACCATGGAGTACTATTCAGCTCTAAGAAACAATGGTGATATAGCACACCTTATATTTTCCTGGTTAGAGCTGGAACCCATACTACTAAGTGAAGTATCCCAAGAATGGAAAAACAAGCACCAGATATATTCTCCAGCAAACTGGTATTGACTGAGTGGCACCTAAGTGGACACATAGGTGCTACAGTAATAGGGTATTGGGCAGGTGGGAGGGGAGGGGGGTGGTATATACATACATAGTGAGTGAGATGGCACCATCTGGGGATGGTCATGATGGAGACTCAGACTTTTGGGGGAGGGGGGAAATGGGCATTTATTGAAATCTTAAAATCTGTACCCCCATAATATGCCAAATAAAAAAAATATTTAAAAAAAAAAAAAAAACCTCAATGAGATATCACTTAACCCCAGTGAGAATGGCCTTTATCAAAAAATCTCCAAACAATAAATGCTGGCATGGTTGTGGAGAGAGAGGAACACTCCTACACTGCTGATGGACTGCAAACTAGTTCAACCTCTGTGGAAAGCATATGGAGATACCTTAAAGCGATACAAGTGAATAACTTACCATTTGATCCAGCAATCCCATTGCTGGGCATCTACCCAAAATGATCCAGTGACACTCTACAAAAAAGACACCTGCTCGAATGTTTATAGCAGCACAATTCATAATTGCAAGGCTGTGGAAACAGCCAAGTGCCCATCAATCCAACACTGGATTAATAAAATGTGGTATATGTATACCATGGAGTACTATTCAGCTCTAATAAAACAATGGTGATATAGCACATCTTATATTTTCCTGGTTAGAGTTGGAACCCATACTACTAAGTGAAGTATACCAAGAATGGAAAAACAAGCACCAGATATATTCTCCAGCAAACTGTTATTAACTGAGTAGCACCTAAGTGGACACATAGGTGCTACAGTAATAGGGTATTGGGGAGTGGGGAGGGGGAGGGGGCGTGTATATACATACATAATGAGTGAGATGTGCACATCTGGGGGATGGTCATGATGGAGACTCAGACTTTTGGGGGAGGGGGGAAATGGGCATTTATTTGAAACCTTAAATCTGTACCCCG